GTATCGGGTATGCAGGCTAACAAACACACCAATGACTCCTCATCCGTAAGGGGCGGACCTGTTCTTCCAGTTCAGTTTGCATGTTTTCTAAGCCATAACAAAGCCTTGCTGGGCTACTCTATAAAGCTTGGAACTCAGCACTAATCCAGACATTTTGAATTGAAAAAGCTAAAGTAAAGCAAAACATCTTCAAACTTGGAAACCCAAGTCCAGTGGTTTGTTTTTTAACTTTTTCTCTTTTTTGGGGGTAACCACTGTCTGAATCCATTCAGCTTCCTATTAAATCCGACCATCTTTGCTGTCCTTGCAGAACAAAAACCTCCCATCAGTGCTTGTTTTCTGTTTTGCATATTAACCTAAAAGTATAAATTTGCACTTGTGCTCTGAGATGTATGAATCTATCTCTCCCGTTTCTGCTGTGGGGGTAGAAATCCTTTAGCAAGGCATTGCAAGCCATTTTAAAAACTGAATCACCGGTTGGGCTTAGGAACCTGTCGTTTGATTCTTCCGTTTCTGTTCTTTCCTTGAAGTACTTGGCTCTGCCTGAGATCGCACTGGGCCGCTACGCGTATGTGACGGGCGTAGGCGTGAATGGAAGCGCTCTCTCCCTCTGCCAGCGGTACTATAAGAAGGGAACCATCGACCCCGTCAACGACACGTTTGACATCGACCCCCATGTTGTTACAGGTGAGAGACTTTTTTTTTCTTCTGTAGACATTTAAAAATTTATTTTTGTTCCTTTTTCTATTTCTATGTGACATTTTTAATATCTTTAAGTGAATAAATATTGTTAATAATGATCATTTTTATTGTTTATTTTAATTGCTATATAGGATCTCAGACCCCATATGACCCCCTTTGAAAACCAGAGCTCTAAAACTGCCCCACTTATAAAACACTTATGCAGTGTCAGTGGAAACACATGAAAGCGTTGGTTTTTTCCATATATTTACTGAAACGAAGCAGATATCTCTTTGGGAAGGATGTTATTTGCCCACATCTGCTGACTCTACTGGTTTTAGAAAACCAACGATAAGTTTAGCGATGAAAATAGCAAAGCAAATGGAAATAAAATACCAGCTCCAGATGGGCGGGCTCTGAGCTTAAATGCTTTAAGGGAAGTGTAGAAGTTTCACATTGGTTTCATGTGATGTGGAAAAAAAATATATTATTTAAATGGCTTTCAAGCAAAACTTCCTCATGTGGCTGTTTTCAGTTCCTTCATGGATGTTTTTATATTTTCAGACTGCATCGGGCTCGATCCGACGACGGACGATTCGGCTGTAAGAAACGGCAACTACAAGAATTTCACTCTCCAGTTTTACAAGTTAGACATAGTTTTTTTTCTTCTTCTATGTAACAACCCCAACATGTTATTGTTACAGTGCTGTGAAAAGTCCCCCCCCCCTTCATTCACGAAGGGGGTGAAAAAAAACATCAATCCCTTTTGCTCCTGAGTGACAATCATGGATAAATTTTGATCTTTGAGGAATATATTTGATTAATTGTTTATCTTAAAGCAGAGATAAGTCCAGAGCTTTTTTCCTGACCTGAAATTGATGGTGTGCCAAAGTTAATCTTCCTCCTATTAAACCTGAGCTCTGATGCTCAGACTTTTTTCTTCCAAAGATCAGAAATCTATGAAGTTATAAACTACTATCTGCACAAATTGAATATTTTATGCGTACATTCAATACCGTGAGTTCATGTTCCTTCTTTTGTTTTTATGCTCCTTTAGATTCTCTCCTTCTCACATGTGAACCTGTTTCTGTGAACTCAGCTTCACTTTTGTCACTGTGAGGATAGAACCAACCAGTGAAACTAAACTGCTTGTGGTCGTCTACTTTACTTTATAGAGAATCCACCTGTTTAGAAAGCCCCATTTCTTCCTGTTTGTGGGGAGTGTCACTACCTGACCTGTCCTGGAAGCCCGATTCCAGTGTTGGGAAAGTTCTCTTTCTACGTGAACTAGTTCAAAGTTCAGTTCACACATTTTAAAATGAACTAGTTCAGTTCATAGTTCATAATTCAAAATTTTGAACTAAGTTCACAGTTCCAAAAAACGAACTAGTTCATAGTTCTTTTTTTTTTTTTTCATGTATTGCTCAATTACACCATAGCCTACTGTAGAACCACAGACAGCAATTATTTTATCAGTTGTAACTCTGAAACTGTGTGTCAGATTTCATCTTCATATCCAGTTTTGAATCCTTATCCAACCAGGGTTAACATTAGCATTGAGGGGACAGCATTTCCCCATTGTTGCTTTAATGCTTTGTTGCTGTCCATTCACTTCACACTAGTAGCAGCTGCAGCTTTCACCCCTACAGTATATTCTCAAAAACATCAGGAAAAATGTGCTGCTTGAATGGTCTTTTTTATGAGGAATTATTAAAAGAAAAATAGGAAAGTAGTCTTTGAGGTGCAAAAGTTTTTTTTATTTTAATATTTTCCATTTGAAATTCCATTTCAGTACATACTAAAAAGGAATCCTGGAAAATTATACCAGGCAGATTTAAGTTCGGATTTTTTTACTGAAAGCCGGCGGGCAAAGTTTGCAGAGAAATGTAAGATTGTTGCCATCATCCTCACTGACCACCTGGTCATAAACCTGTTTTAAGTGATCATACTGCTGTTTTGTCGCCTCCACGGTCGCCTCCATGCTGCTATGGCTTCCACGCTGCATTTTGTTTTGATGACGCACGCGGCTGTAGGCCACGACGCTGGTAGCTGGTGTTGCCAGATTGGGTGTTTTCCCCGCTACATATTAAGGCTTGTTTACGGTGTGATTTAGCCGGGGTTTCGCCTGGAGGGCTCTATAGAAATCTGGCAACCTATTGAACGGAGTTGAACTGAGAGAGCGTGCCGTTCACAGACACCAGAATGAACGAGTTCACAATAACGTCCATCAGGCAGTAATGCAGTACGTTCAGTTCACGTTCGCCCAGAATATGAACGAGTTCATGAACTTTCGTTCAATGAACGCGTTCAGGCACAACACTGCCCGATTCATACCATCTGCTCATTTGCGCATCCGCAAACCAGATATATATCCGCCGCCTGGATTAATATCTGTGTCACTATTAAAGAAGTTATGTTTAATTTTATATTCAGATTAAATTAAAACCATTAAAACACATCTATAAATCTAGATCATTCATGAGCAGCTTGAAGCAGCCACACCAAAAATACAGGTTTTGTCATTACAACTATAGATGATGAAAAATAAGCTCTCAATGCCGGGATAACAATGATGTGTCCTGTAATAAAGTTATAGTGAAACCTAACAGGAATATATTTTCACAATTCTGTTTTCTATTCATAGATACAGCTGTGCTTTTTGTTTTCAATAAGCTGTTATTGTTTTAATAGGATGTAAAGGTAAAGATTATATGATCCTAGTTATCGCTGTTACAAAAAATCCACAACAAAAAGAAAATATTTGGACAGAAACTGAACATATGCTGGATACTGATGGGGATTTTTAAAATATTTATTTGCTCCTGTAAATTTAATAATAATATAGCGCATACTCTCCTCGAGCTCCCAAGAATTCGGAGCTAGAGGAGAGCAGCAGGACGGGAGGAACCGTGGAGGATGTAGGCTTTGCTTTGCGCAGGTGGTCTGGAGCGCAGCTTTACGGTGACAGAGGATGATGGATTTAAGGGTAACACAGTGTAGCTGTGTCCGTTGCAATCTGCTCCTCATCTACACGCTAACAGCTGTTTCTGTGCGCAGCAAGCGCCCACACTCTATCTGCTATAATAACAGTTTATATGCAACATTTGCCCCCCAAATTCATAAAATCAGGGAGATTTTCGGGGACAGGTGGTCGAAAACGAAATATGTCACTGGAAATCAGGGACGTCTGGTAACTCTAGTCAAGATGCCTTGCTAACGTTACTAGCCGCAAGCAAGAAGAAAACTACTGTCTAAAGTGTTGGGATGATTTCCTGAAAAGTAGGCAGTTTACTTTCTCTGGTTGGTTCCTGCCTCAAGGTGTCAAAAGTTGACCTGAGTTTACAGAACAAGGTTCAGAGAGTAGGAGAGAATCTATAGGAGCATAAAAAGCAAAAGAAGGAGCATGAATTCATGCTGGAGACATTGGGTCATACTAAATGTACTAACTATATAAACGTACTATACGTTTTAGATTTATACTATTATACCAAGCGGAATTGGTGGTTCTTAAAGATGCAGGGAGGTGAACAGAAATAACAGAAACCTGTTTTGTTTCATGGTTTTGAATCTGCAGGCGTGAAATATTCCAAATGCACATGGGCAGTGGTTTATAAGCATGTCCTTGAAATAAAACTGATTGTAGGATCATTTTTACGCCTGTGCTCTTTTAGCAGGATTCTGATTTCATAGAAGTCATAGTTCTGTCCATAATAGCCAGGTTTTCAGGCCCTTAAAGCAGCTGAGTGGTGTGTACATCACCCCCCCCCCCCTCTGCCAGGTTTCACTGTCCTGGATTGCTGTGGCAGATTTTCCCAAAATGTAAACCTCATCAAATATTTTCTAAACATGCCATCCTTATTGGCAGGAAGAGGTTTGTTTTCATACTCTTTAATGGCTGTGGTTTCTGCCCAGGCCCTTTCCTACTGTTAGTCCTTCCATGCTTTAGATGTTGTTAACATGAATCATTTTAAAGCATATCAAACAATTTAAAGATGGTACCAGAAGAAGCCCTGGTGTCTTTTGATGTTACTTCTCTTTTCACATGAATACCTATACAGGGATTAAAGTATTCTGGCCCCGGCCCCGATTTTTGGCTCGTAGTGATTGCCCGTTAAAAAAACTCACTAGAAAATAAATTGACAGTGAATAAATTTAAAAATGTTAGAAATCCCTCTTGCGTTTCTCAGCCAATGGAAGCAAAGGATTGCTCTGATACTAACAGTTTTAGCCAATCAGAAGAAGAGGGCGGGTCTTAGGAAAGCGTGTGCCTCCACCTCTCGTTTCTTGCTCAAGTCGCCAGATAGATTGCTAAAGTTCTACACAGAGTCACCATGCACCGTTTACGGCTCCATTCAATGGAGAGACGTGTAAAGAGTCAAGAAATAAATAAATTAAACTTTATGTTTGGAGAGAAGGACGATGGAGAGAACGGAATAGTATGGAGTGGGAACAATGCAGTTCATGAACCCCTGGGAAAATGTCAGGACCATAGATAAAGGTCTCAAAAGTAAATGGCGCTGGGCATCTTGCCATCTTCTGGCTGTGTTTGGTATTGGATTTTCAAAAGTCAAATTTAGTCTTCAATCATTCATGCAATCTCTGATCCCATGCCCCCACACCTGCCATACCTTGAAAATACACACACACACAACAGCATATAGGCTTTTTTTTTTGCTTTTTTACTTTAATCCCTGCCTAGCAGCAATTGAGTTTGTCCCTTCCCCTTATCATCGCAGCCCCCACCCCTGTACAGGGAGGGAGACCTCGCCTATTCAGCCAGGCCAACAATTCCCATAGACAGGTATGGGGCATTGCAGGCTAACAAAAGAAGCCAAACCCCCATTCCAAAGGGATGGATTTATTCATCAGTTTCAATTTGCATGTTTTCAAAACAAAAACAAGGCGTAGTTGGGCTACTGTATAAAACCTCCAACTCAACACTATTTCTGACATTTTAATTTAAAAATCTTCCTGGATGGGAAGCAAAACGTCTTTAGACTTGAAACAAACACCAGTAGATTGTTTTTTTTTTTTTTACTTTTTATTTAGATGTTATTCCTGGTTCTTTTTTAACCTCCTTGATGAGTCCTTAATGCCATTCCTGTAGAATCTATGATAGGCTGACCAGTCCTGGGAAAGTTCCCTCCTGTTCTGCATTTTTTCTATTTGTAGATGACGGTCCTCACTGTGATTCTCTGCAGTCCCTTATCATTGGTAATGGCTTTATAAACCTTTCAAGACCCATCTGTTTTTGAATTTCTCTAGCTAAGACCAAATCCTTTAACCTACTTCATGTTGTCGGGCAGGTTCTGTTTTTGTTCCTTCTAGAGTCTTTGAGTAGGGTGGAAATCAGGCTCATGTGTGGCTAAAAAAGTTTGTATAAAAAAAATCAGATATTTTTTTTTCCCTTAACAAGTAAGATTCTCCTTTTTACAGAAGTCTTTACATAAATGAAATGAGAATGTGTTATAGACAAAGGGAATCTATCTTACTTCTTCCTGCTGCTCTTGTTCCCTCTACAGGCTGATCAACGTCACAGTTGACTTCCAGCTGAAGGCCATCAACATTCAGACAATAATCAACAATGAAATCCCAGACTGCTACACCTTTGCCATCACGGTGAGCTTTTAAAAAAAATAAAAGTCCTTTCACCTGAAACCTGACGTCCTTCTGTGAACTGATTAGAAACATAAGATGTTCTGTCTTTGTGTCGGTTTTTTATAATTATTATATAAAGTTTTACCAAAAGCAGCTGAAGTGGAAAATAGAGTGTTTAAAGGTGAAACATTTCTCAGCAGTTAGAGGATGCAGGGTGACTGGTTTAGCAACATCAGTTCTGATGCATGACACGGGTCACAGTTTTGTAGATGCAACATTAAACACAGATTTCTGTTGTGCAGCAGCTTTGGGACTCTGCAGTGAAACAGTTTTATATTCATTCTGCTGTATGGAGGGAATGTTGTCCCATTATTGTTGCAATAAAAGAAAAATTAACTTGAGATTAAAAAAGAAAATTCACTCCAGAAATAAAATCAAAAAGATATCCTAATACAAAAGAGGTTTTAAAGTAACTGTGATGTTGATGTTGTCTCAGATTTTTATTTTCACAGATTATTTTAAAATGTTCTAATTTAGAAAAGAAATATTGTTTTTCTTTAATTCTTTTTGTGATTGAGTTTTGTTTTATTTTCTTCACAAATTCCTTTTTATAGATCACCTCCTCACTTTCATAAGACGGAGTATTAGGGCCATGCTAGAGATTTATTTATTTTTTATTATTTTGAGATTAAAGTCATAATATTACGAGAATAAAGTTGTAACATTATGAGAATAAAGTCGTAGCATTACGAGATTAAAGTCGTAGCATTACTAGAATAAAGTCGTAACATTATGAGAATAAAGTCGTAGCATTACGAGATTAAAGTCGTAGCATTACTAGAATAAAGTCGTAACATTATGAGAATAAAGTCG